AATTCTATTGGTTCAAAAAATACGCTGACTTAGCGAAATAAAGTTCTAGAGTGTTCTGTTGAAATATTTTAAGAAACGATTTGTTACAACGTTTTGAGAATGCTTGCATAAGTTGTTTTATAATATTATTTGTTTATTCAAAAATAAAAGTTTTAAATATATATTAAATTGTCAAAATTTTAAAAGTTTACTAAAAATTATAGATTTTATTAGTATATTCTTATTTTTTATTTAAAAAGTATGTATTCATTATGTAAATTTAGTTTTGTGTATCTGTTTTTTATCGTAATGTATCTTTTAAAGCAATTTTTATGATTTAAACAGACTTACAAAAATAATTGCGTTTTCAATGAAGTTATAATCGTTACAGTTAATAAAACTAATTATGTAACAAACATATAAGAAGTTTCTGGTTACTAAACACAAACAACGCGTACAAAGTAACTCGCAGATGAACAAGCACCGCGCCTGAGGTCACGACAGAACACAAATATATATAGCAAATAATTAGATATAAAGAAAAGTTACTAGATATTGGTTTACTAACTCTAATTATTTTTGCTAAGTTGCCATTCTTAAAACTCGTTATACTTTTTTCTGCTTTAAATACTAATTAAAATTCAAAAGCCCACTCACTAAACATCGCCAGCAATATTGTGAAGCAGTTTCGCTTCCTCATCATAAAGTATTTTTAACCTTAAGTTGATTTCTATATTGTTAATTTAATTTCTATAGTAATTCAATGATTTAATTATTTAATTAGTTTATCTAACTAAAAAGAATTGCTACAAATATGATAAACTTTTCAAACTATGCGAAACATTAAATAGGTATTGAAAAAATTAACTTTCTTATTTATAAAATAATTTAGCTTTAATAAAATTAAAACTTGCAAACTTTGTTAAATAAAGAATATTTGTTTCCTTTTTAAGCAATCGTAAGTTATTACTTTTTATAAAAAACATCGCCTCATTTTATAAAAAAAATTATAAAAGAGCGATGTTTCAAAAATACTTGTTCTAAACGTAATTTTTTTAGCTTTAAGATTTTTTGCCTTAAAATATATTTTATTTGTCTAATTTTTTTTTTTCTTTTGTAATTGTTTCTCATCGGTCCAATTAATCTTAAATGCTTTTTTTTTTTGCTTTTTAAAATGTTCTCAAAACGACTAAAAAATCTGGCCAGCTTTTCGCAACTAAATATTATTTACGTGGTCAGCAATCGAGAGCAATCGCTCCCGCTTCCCGACCAAGCCTGCAAAATCCTTCTGCATTGTTACTTTCAGTCGCTAAAGGATCTGAATCTAGCAAAACTACTGTTTAAATGGTCATAACACAATACAAGAGCTCTCTATTTATCGA